AAAAAAAAAAAAAAAAAAAAAAGATTGGAATAGAAACAATTGAAAGCCTGGTTCCATAAGTCTATTTCCTGGGCCCAGCCTAATCACATATGGAGCTTTATTTGTCTCCCTTCTGATGGCACTAAGAATATCTTCACACCTTGTCCCTTTCACAGTGGTCCACCCACACAACTATCACAGACCTAATTGCTATACATCTTCTAAATTAGCTCATTCCAAGTCCTGGAAAAAACATTCAGTCTATTTCATTATCAATGATTATTATAGATTCCTATATTAGGTTATCCCTATGTCTCCTAGAAGGATTTCTCTAACCTCTGTCTTTCAGAGCTACTTCTACATCAGGCTATAATGCAACACTTCTGGCTGGTGCCAGCGTATCATGCAGACCACACCACAGACCTGGCATTGATTTTTCCTCCGTGGTGAGTTAACCATGGAAATTCCACATGACATAATTACTGCATGATGGAGAAAGGAGAAAGAATAAAGTAGGAATGGATACCAGAAGCCACTGAGCTTCCTGCACTTGTGGCTCATGCTTTCCAGGCCTGCTAAGTCTCAATTCTGAACATATAATTTCCATCTAACATTGGAATGCTTCTTCACAATTCTAATTTTATTATTCAAAAGGTTACATTATACAATACCCAACTCATAATGGGAAAATCAGGCCTTCTGAATTTTTTTTCAAATCTGTCTACTATTCCTGACAATTGATAACTGAGAGTCTTTGGAGATCTCAGTCCCTAGCATATGTTTTTTGCTGGCCTTAATTTATTGCACCTTCTTTCCCTGGGTGTTTTTTGATTTGGGGTTCTGATTTGTGCATTTTCCCTTGGAACTTTATCCAAGTAAATTGGTTGAGTCTTCAGTTAGAGACCTACTTCATCATTTACTGCTGTCAGCTTGGCACTACAGTCTTGAGTCAACTTTAAACTAAGTTATCAGTTTGGGTTTTTTTAAAACCACTCATATACCGTGAATTCAGGCTGAGAGACTAATGCAAGTCAGTTTGAGGTTGTAAATTTTCAGTGAAATTTTTTTTCTGAGGACCAAAGTTCAAAATATGGCAATGTTCCTTGAGAACATCTGTTGATGGAGAAGAAATGTGTGACTGGTTTGTCCTTACATGTGTTTGTCACACTTTCAGGACTAGGGAGTATGTAGGGATCTCCTAGTAGGGTGGCTCACATTTTTTTCAGATCCTAAGAACTGTCTCCCTGCCTCTGGCCAGTCCTATCCTCCCCAAAATTATAGCAACCAGAGCTCAAATTCACCTGATTCAAACAAATGTCTTCAAGACAAAAACAGTTTCACTACCATCTTCAAAAGAGAGTTTGCTTGCACTTGGCCTTGATGTTCTGGGCCTTACTTTCTTGCAAGGTCAAGGACGCTTAAGATGTTTTGTTGTGTATTTCAGCGAAGTGTTTTTAAAAACTGTTTTCAATGAGAAGGCTACCTGGGTTCTTTGACCAATATCCTTCCTGTAATACAGGTTTAGAATGAGCATTTTCTCTAGATCTTAAGTTTTATGGCATGAGAGAGTGGGCAGCACAGGAGGAAAGAGGAAAATTATCATCAAGGGATGAAAACATTGCTAACTCTAAACCCAAAAGTAAAAGAATTACTTCCTTAAGTACAGGAGAAACATGCTGGCCAGGCATGGGCTCATTAAGCAGAGCAAAGCACTGAACCTAACAGCATTTGGGAGGAGCATTTCAGTATGAGGTTGTGTTGGTTACAGACACTGCAATGGGTCAATCATGGTGTGTGGGGAATTCAGAGATCATTGGAAAATGATTTCAAAGCATAGTTCTGTCACTGACAATGTGTTTTACAGCTGTGTTCATTCAAAAAGTTGTCACTGATGAGCAAAAACAAGTTTGAGACTATTTTTTCGCTTGTTATCATAGCTGTAGAACTAACAGCTTTTCCCTAGGCATATGGGGGGTTTTTAATCCTGGAATGGAAGAGTAACCTCAGAGGAGTGTAAAAGGACAAACCAAAGGAGAATCCCTATAGGTAAAGGAAGAAGAGAAGCCTAAAAGTTAGAGAAACAATGAATGAAGTCATAGAACCCAAGGAAGTTAAGGTTTTCAAGGAAAGATTAAGCTACGGTAGAAATGCTGTCCAGAGGCAGAGTGAGATACAAGTAGAACAATATCCCAAAACTTTCTAAAAGGTGGTCCACTGGTCCCTTGGATCAGAGTCAGTTCTGTAGAATAATCAGAAGAAAAGCAAAGTATAATGAGTTGGAGGGTCAGAGGAACAGAGAATGATAATGGCCAGGGTAAATATTTTCCTTTTGATAAAATTTGCAACTAAAGAAAGAGAAACAAATAAGATATCAGTGGGAAGTCAGATACAAAAATAAAATTGGAATTGTATGTTACAATCTGGTGTTGGATCTGGCGCTGCAGGAGTAAGCCTTGTAGATCTTCAGGAATGAGAGCGGCTTAATGCTCATGAACAACAACAGCAAGAAATATTCAAGTTCCTCCTGTAATAACCATCAAATAGAGCCCTAAGCCACAACTTGAAACTTTGATAAGGCAACTTATCCCACATTACAACAGTTCTGTTGGCTAGGAAGTTCCACCATGAGCTAAGCCAAATTTGCCCACAAGTTTTCTCCCCACTGCTCCATACATCCATCCCACTCGTCCTAGTCTCTCTCTGAGTCCTACATGGCTCTGCCTAATCCCATCCACCTTCCCCCATTTGTGGCCACTGCTTTCTCCTCCATCTTCACTGACCGGTCTGGTCCTTTTGATCATCACTCCAGATCTCTGCCACAAGCTCCAGCAGAGGTATCTTACCATGCAGAACCCAATCTCTCACTGTCATTTCCGGTGAATAAAAGACAGAAAAGGGTGGCAGATGCATGACTTTTAATGAGGGCGGTTAACATCACATCTTGTTCCCAGAAAGTTTGAAGAGTGTGATGGCCAGCATTCAAGGTGTTCGGGGCCAGTGGTTCCCATAGGACCAGCCACTATTTGCCTCTGCACCAGTAATGCTTATCCTCATGTAGGACTGGAGGCAGCATGGTTGATAATTTCTGCAGTGGTAGTAGGGTTGCTCATTCTTTTTGCAAGAGGGTCTACAGACTCCTGCGTTGCCCATGCATCGAAGAAGTTCTTTTCCTGGCCAGAAAAAAATAACAATGATACTAATTAGTTTCCACTTAGCAGTGAGAGAGGTAGGATGAGATGGGGAGCGGAGTAAAAACCTGAAGCGTGATGGCAACTTCCCCTTCCAGAAAAGTAGAGCAAATGTCCTTTTCTGTAAGTGTCCTTTTAAGTAGAGTTTAAAAGTATAGGCATTATACATAAAACAAACATAAGAATACTCCATAAGGTGAAGAAAAGAAGGCAGACCAGGCAAAGATCTCAGGACCTGAGGAATGACAATCATAAATTCCTTTGGTTTGTTTCTGTCTTGTGTATCCCAGACCCTTTCTTTCTAGGGTGCTGCCTGTCTACCTAATAGGACTTTGTTTCAAAGAGGGATCATTGCTTCCTTGGATAATAACAGATGGGTTCTCAGCTGTCTTCACTGTGGGGCCCAAACTTTTGAACCTGCCATTCCAAGTCCTCTCACTTACTCCGTGAATGATTGCCAGCACCCAATATTGTCAGGCCTTAAACTTGGCACCCAGCACGAAAGGGTCCTCTATGTCCAACTGGGTTTAACACAAAATTACGTGTGCACTTATACACACAGCATGAGGTCTTTACATAAATAAAAGTGGTGCCCTCCATTGTTTTTGTCTAGAGCACATGTGTTACCTAAGCAAATATCTTTACTCCTTTGGTTCTTGGGCAATAAGAGAAAATGAACTCTCAGTATCATATATGGTTTAGATTCTGGGTGCTGGAATGCAAAGCAGAGGGTGAACAGAGCTTCAGCTACATCAGCAGGCCGCTCATCAGTTTCAGGAAAGGTCCAGCACAGAGACAGGCCCAGGCCTTCCAGCTTTGTATAAGCGTTCTTCCAAAACGCATCTACATCTGCCACGTCAACCCTCCCCACAGACAAGCATACTCTCTCTCCTTCCTTGGCATCCCTCAGCCCACCAGGAGGAAAAGAGAGAGCCAAGGAAGCCTTCAAAAAGGAAAAACCAAAGCCACATCCCTTTATGTCACATCCTCTGGAGATGAGGTCCCTGCCCATCTTCCCCGAGGAAAAGAGCCAGTCTGCAGTGAAAGGCACGATGGGCAAAGCAGGACATCTGAGATGGCGAGGCCGGACTGAAGATGGTGGAGAGAGGCCACCGTGTCCCAGAAAGGGATTTCACAGATGTCCAGATTAACTCCCAAGGCTTTCATCAGGGACTTTTCATCTCCTCACACCCACCTACCTGTCAACTCCATGTCACTCAATGCCACTACTCTGTCTTACCCACATCTACTCAGTGTCATCTTGGATGTTCTCTCACCTGTTCTGCAAAAGTCAGAGGAGAACCACTACTGATCCCAGCATTGTCTGTAACTATTAGTGCGGGCCAACTTTCCTCCCTTGAGCCTCAATTTCTCCACCTGTGAAAGTGGAAAATAGGGAAAGGTCCCCTGGGATCCTCTCAGCTCTGAGGGCTATGAAGAATGAAGGAATTGTTGGGGGTGGTGCCTTATCTCCCAAAGGAATAACTTGAGGGAATTTTCAAAATGTCATATGCTCTAAGACTCAAGCACATGGGCAAGTGTCATCTGAAGACTTCTTGTGGCTCAGTGGAGAGACCTGAGCCCCTTCCTCACCCCAGCGGTTGCCTCTGAGTACCCAGTGTTAGGCACAGAGGAGGTTCTTAAATGACATTGGCCAAGTGAGGAAAGGATTCCAATGAGTTGGTGGAGGCTGAACTGCTATTTGTGAAGGTGTCAATGCCAGGTCCCAAGCCTTAGGGAGCCCTGGACCCTCCCTAGACCCCCTTCCACTCTGTGAAGCCTGTGTGTTGCAGGAGCAAGCTAACTGAGGAACAAAAAGACCCAAGGACTTGAAAGAGACCCAGGTACTCCTCTGCACCATTCTCTGTGCTCCCTCAAATCCAGAGGATCCCAACCTCATTCCTAGAACCTGGCGTCAGCCTTCTGTACCCACACCAAATCCATTCATGCTGTCACTCATGAACCCATCATTCATCTATCAATTGATCAAGAAATACTCCCTAAATATTAGCATCTGCTCAGAGGTGGGGCTTAACACCAAGCAGACAGCTATAAATAAGCGCTTGTCTGAACCTCTAAGGGTTTCCATTTAGTAATGGAAAATGTTTGGAGGTTTGGTGGGAAAGAGACAATGACTCAAATAATTACACAATAACGTGATATACAGCCTCACTTCTTAAAAGTGAGTTTGTGAACACAGTCAGAACTCAGCTGGGAAAAGAGAGAGAACCTACAAAGGTGAGATCAAAATCTGGAGCAGGAATGCAAGTGGAGGCTCATGTATCATACATCAGAATACTTAAATGCTGTGACTCAAGCTAACAAAGGAAATAAATAAAATATATTCTATCCCCTTCTGTGCAATAGTCCTTCGTACTGACCAGAGAGATCAGATTAGAATTTATAATTCTTGGATTTCTCAGACTTTGCGCAGAAACCAGGCAGCATGGGGGCAGCTGACCTAGACCCGCTTCTCTGGCAGCCCCAACTCTGCCCCCAGCTGGGAGGAGACACAGTTGCAGACACAGACACAGACAGATGCAGACACTCCAGCCTGAACATCAAAGCCCTGCCCAGGGCCTCTGCAAACGGGGGTGTCCTTAGCACTTCTCCTGTTAGGGCTGAACATCCAGACAGACCCACCTTCCAGGGGGGACCTTGGGGACAAACCCGTGGAAGCAGACACGGAGGCCTTTGGACAAGTACAGTGCAGTCCAGAGAGTGGGGATGACAGCCACAGGCTTGGGGCAAGGGGTATGTCCCTCTTGTCCCAATAACGCCTGCCTCCATGGGGAGGGACTTAGCCAGAGGAGCCCTGGAATAGGATCAGGATCAGGAGAGGGGTCTCTCTTTCCAGGGGGGAAAAAAAAGAAATATGGAATTGAAAGCAAAGTATATTCCTGGATGGGAGTGGGCTTCTTCCACTTGCCTCAGTGCTGTGCACAGTGCTTTACTGAGTACCCAAGCCCCTGAAAAAAAACTGTTTTGGATAAATGAGACCATAAGAATAAGATTTGAGATAGTAAAGCCTGGAAGAACACTCAGGTGCTCTAAATTTCCAAGCAGAATTTTTTTAATGTTCCTCATGAGTAACTTCTCTCCAAGGCGAAATTATCTATTGAAATGAGAGAGGCTTCTGTCTCTCTAGAGTCTAGCACAGTCAGAAAACACGCAGCACATATTCAGTAAATATCTGAATAAATCAATGAACAATCACATCAGCTAACATTTATTGAGGGCTTAGTATGTACTGCACACTATGAATTATTTCATTTCATTCTTACCTATATTCTGAGGTAAATAATACTATTTTCTAGTTTTCCAGTTGGGGAGGCTCAAGTTCTGAGAGTTTTATACACAGACTGCTAGTTTATGCAGTCTCTGGCAGACCAGAGATGAATGAATGGGTAAATTAATCCATAAAAAATGAATAATGAACAAATTCATATATTCATATGGAAATGCATACATTTGCATGCTTTATCTTTTTTAGCATATGAGAATCCTGTGACCCCTGGGGGTTTTGGGTTTCAGAGAATGAGAAAGCATTTGAGCTGACCTTCCAGGAAACCTAAAATTTGGGCTCTACTCAGCACTCCACTTCCTCCCTGTCCACTCCATGCCCATTCATCACACGATGGACCAGTTCTCCAGCCCAAAGATTCTCCCACTTTCTATGCACCTGAGGTGCCTTGAAATCTCACAGCTCCTCCCATATTAATTCCCTCAGTGTACCCCTCACTCAACCCTCATGGGGTTGGAGATGGGGAATCATCTTCAAAACTAAAATCGTAGCTTGGCATGATGGTGCACTTCTGTAATCCCAGCTACTCAGAGGGCTGGAGCAGGAGGATCACAAGTTCAAGGCCAGCCAGGGCAATTTAGCAAGAACCTGTTTCAAAATAAGAATTTTTTTAAAAAAGAGTTCAGTAGTAGAACACTTGCCTCGTAAGCTCTAGATTCAGTCCTCGACACTACACACACACACACACACACATTAAAAAAAAACACCCTATAATCATTTCCTCTTGCTGGGGCCAGTCCTAATGACCTCCCTCTATTACCACTTAACCCTGTCCTGCCATCTTCCACTCTCAGTTCATTTTGGGTTTATGGTTCTTTATGATTGATAGACACAAGAAATACATTTGTGAGTTTAATGAAACGTGGAAACAAAGAACCTAGAGCAAAGTCATTTCTGTCTGTGATTTCTATTTTTCTTTCTTGTCCTGAATCATATGAACTTTATAGGAGTGGTCTAGCCAAGGTCTCCATCAATTGTTATTGGTTGGATTGTTAAATAAGGACCATTTACAATCTCAGCAATGTGTGATGCTGTCTTCATCATCCGTGGACACCAGCCGGCAGTGTCCATCCATCCAACACTGTATTTCTGGTGCAGGAACAATCATTAAGCAGGTGTTGGTCACTCATGAGGGGAAACAAGAGGAAGCAGGGGAGCAATAGGGGAATACGAGTTTGAATGGGAGAGACAGAGAGGATTCGGGAAGTAATGGTGGACCCAATCCCAAGAAAAAACACTGGAAGGGAAAGACAGGAGACAATTGTTCCAACTAGAAATTCCAAAGTTTTCAGGAAAGCCTTTTCAGGAGAGGATTTCTACCCTTCTATCATTTTATTCCCCAACGTCCTACTCCTTCCTTTGGAATCAGTGTTGATACTAATAAAGTTCTCACCAAATAAAGGAGCTTGGGAAAGGTGTCTGCCTATAATTTAGGAAATGGAGGGGATTCACTCACATTACAACTGACCCAACTCCTTGTGAAGAGCCTGACTCTGTAACAGAAGCCCAACCAACCTCAGCTCCAGCCACAACCCAATCTGCAGCCTTCCTTGACCCCATCTTCACCTACTACAAAGTCAAAACCCAGCCAACTCCCAGTCTTACTCACTTAATGGCCCCTGAACCCTAATTCCAAGTCCAACTCAAATCTAATCAAGTCACCAACCACAACTCCCACCAGCCACCCTTCAATAATGTGAACCCAAGCACCCTGCACCACTGGGAACTAACTCCCAGCCTGAGCTCAAGCCAAATTTAATGCCCGACACTACTTCCACCCAAACCAAAATCCCATCTCCTCTCCAACTTGCCCCATACCATCAGCAAATCCCAGCTCCTCACCTCCAGCTCATCCCCCATGTTCCCCAATCATTCCAACCCCAAGGTTCCTTCCGTCACAACTCAACCCCAGCTTTCGATCTAATCTCCAACAAACCCCCAACTTGCACCCAATCCTTCAACCCCAAGCTCTCTCAAGCACCCACCAGGATGCCATCCCTGCCCTTAAATGTCAGATGTTTCAAACATCATCTATTACCCCATCAGTTAGCAAAAAATAATAATAATAATAATAATAATAATAATAATAATAATAATCAGGGAGAAATGTTAATGTGATATGATCCTGGGAAAGCTGCATGAAATGAGCAAAGGCTAGGATGTTGCCTTCAGTGAGGGGGCAGAGGAAAGGGTAGCTGCCAGGATCGCAGACCCTTGAGAGAGCCCAAGTTACCTGGCATCACTGGTTCCATGGCCAGAAGAATGGCAAGAAACAGGAAAAGAAGCTTCATGGCTCTCAGGGCCTGGGAGATGGTGGCTGAGTTGCAAGGTTAAGAAGCAGAGTTCCCTCCGGTCCTTTTATCAGCAGAGCCACAGGCAGCGAATTAGAACAGGAGGGGATTTGTACAAGGTCAGCCAGGCCAAGGGACACTGTGTAGCAGATATCTCTGCACAGCGCAAGACAACTGCGTGGGAAATTGGCCAGCACCTTCGCAAGAGGAGGCTCTCCCTTCTAGTGAGGAAATAGGGAAATTAAAGCCATTTGGCTTTTTGAGAACCACAAAGGAATTAGATAATTAATTAACACGTAAACATATGTTAAGAAACGTTTAATTTTTTAAAAAGTTCTTCTCAGCTTTCTGATACAAGGATATACACACATACATCTTTCTGAATCTTGAACTTGCCGATCCTGTTCCCACTTCAGGGATTTAGCATTTGTCCTTGGTTTGCCTATAAAGCTCCTCCTTCCCATCTTCCCATAGACATCTCCTGCCACCCACTGCACCTCTCCTCAAATGCCTCCTCTTGGAGAAGCTTCAGCTGGTCACTCTAGGTGACAGTGCTCTCCTCTGCAGCCGCTCTGGATCATAGTAGGTTTTTATGATCTTTTTAGATTTATGTTTAGTCTTTATTTCCTCATACAATGTTAGAAACTTGGCCTGGGCTAGGCATGCATTGGAGATAGTTTGAGTGTGTCTCCTAAGTGTCATGTTCTGAAAGCTTGGTCCCCCATGTGGATATGTTGAGAGGTGATGGGACTTTTAAATGGGCCTAGTGCAAGGTAATTTGGCTGTGGAGTTATGGCCTTTGGAAGAAATTAATGTATTTTTCAAGAAACCCAGTTAGTTTCCAAGAAAGTGGGTTGTTGGGGCTGGGGATATAGCTCAGTAATAGAACACTTGCCTAGCGTGCACAAAGCCCTGGGTTTTATTCACCAGCACCATCCAAAAAAAAAAAGAGAGAGGCAAAAACAGAGAGAGAGAGACTGATTCCAGCCATGCTGCTGGAGAAGCCAGATAAGGGCCATACCTCCAACAGAACTTAAAGAAGAAACTATGAAAGATGATGAAAAAAGAAAGAGAGAACTAATTAAACAGCTACTCCATGTAGACTTGGAGAATGGGTATCCGTTTCACACAGATTTAGATTGGGGCGTTGGCCCTGATTCTTGTTACCTATGGATCTTAAATTAAATGATCTGAGCCTCCTATAATAAAATACAAATCATAGCAGTGTCTAATTTAAATAATTGGGATAAATTACATAAATTGCTTAAGAAACTACCTGACACATAGCAGGTGCTGAATTATTACTGTTGCTTTTGATTCTTGTTATTACTGTGATGATCATATCTACCATTATTATCCTCAAACAATTCTGAGAAGTGGAAATTGTAAACCTCCAATTCATACAGGACAAAACTGAGACTCCGCTGGATAAAAGGAACTGTTCGAGGGATTCCCGGGTGGAGTGAAGAGTAGAAAATAGAAATTAAATTTTCATAGAAGCTTAGAAAAATGGTTATTAAGCAGCTATAACTGTGAGAACTTGAGACAGAGCAGGGTGAGGCCTTGTTCAGGGCTCAGAGTCCATGGTATAGTGGGTTGTAAGATTTTTGGAGAAAAGTGTGACCTAGAAAAAAGTCACTGTACAGCCCATGTTGAAGATAATTACTAGGGCAGAGGCGAGGGAGGAAAGATTAGTACAGGCTATTTCATGTCTCTGGAAGAAATAACAAGGACTGGACAGGACCTGGGACACAGTGCATAAACACAAAGTATAGCGAGCTCTTCCCCATCCTAGTCATGATCCGGGAAGTTTCTATTTGTAATCCCATGGAGAAGTTATTGGAGTTCTAGTGAGTTAATTCCAATCTACCACTTCCAGGGCAACCCATGGTGAGAATAAAGACACTAAGGCATATTTGTAGTTGTGTCCTAAGTCCAGCTAGGATAATGGCTAACTGGAACAAAGGCCTCGACCCAGAGCCAAATCCTGGTTTTATTAATTCATAAAGAAGGGAGTGGCTCGGGGATAAGTGACTGTGAGAGTGGTGGGAAGTATGTGAGTGCTGTGAGCTGGGCTAGGAAGGAGGCCTGAAATCGCCTCTGCAATATGCAGAGAGAAAGATATGCAGAAAGAGTAATCTGCATAACACAACTGACATAGTATGTGATATTTTGGGGTTGGTGCTTCAACTCTGATGTGTAATCTTTTATGCCCAGGGAAGTCATAGCCTTTTATCTTGAGGCTGGAACCCAGCATGGAGCATGGCTCTCCATCCCGCCTGGCTCACACATATTTTTTGGGAACTACAGGGTGGGGCAACGCTGCCTTATCGCCTTGCTTCAAATACTACACATCAGCACCTCCCCTGGACTGATTTGCATTGCTTAAAGCGAATGGAAGGGATAAGAAAAAGTCCTAGCCAGCTCTGTACATATCAATACATGGAAATAGGGCCAGATTTATCCAAAATGGAGATAATTGCTCTTCTTTCAAGGAAAGTCAGCCAGGTGGTCCTCCACAACAAAAGAAGTAAGAGAAGAAAGATATCATGAAACACTGGAGCCCTCCTGAGAAACCCTCCCCTCCGAGCTGCGGAGTAGCCTTGGTACTCAGCTAAGGAGCACAGACACTGCTAGGCTTGGTGACAGGCGCTCACTGAGCTGTCTTGGCTCATCCTCACAGCACTGCACTACGAAAACAAAAATTCAGGAGGGCAAGCATCTTTCCCGAGTGATATATGGTGTAATCCCAGATTTGAACCCAGGTCTGACTGATCCCCAAACATGAGGCTTCTAGTGATAACTCTGTCTTCTGGGAAGCCACATCTAGCTAAGTGAGGTCAGAAGCCTCTGGAGAGTCTCACTTCAAAGAATTTAAAAGTCTTTGCTGCAAAAAGGTGAAAGTAAGATCAGAAAAATTTGTGGCCTTCATTTTTTATAACAGATTTATTGAATATATGCCATCAACCTTACTCGTTAAGTATAAATCTCATGATTTTTGGTAAATTTAGAATTGTACCACCATCACTATAGCTTAATTTTTAGAACATTCCAGCACTCCCAAATACCCCGCGTGCTTATTTGCAATCACTGTCAAATCGCAGCTCTAGCTGAGTTGGGAGCTGCCTGTCTGGTGTTTAGCACAGTGCCTGGCAGGGAGTAGGAGGCTGACCGTACATCTCAGGTTCTTGGTGCTAATGTGTAGGAGGAGAGCGTGGGAGCCTTGAGCTGGTCTGGCCCCTGCTGTCTCTGCTCCTGTGAGGGCTGAGGGCTTGGGCCTGGAGAAAGGAGTCACAGTCTAGAGAACACTGTAGCAGGGGCCTGTGAGCAAGACCTAAAAGCTGGAGGGGGCTGAGCTTGTGCTCAGGCAGGCAAAGAAGGGGTCAAAAACAAACTAGGAAGTCTACACAGCCCCTTTAATTTCAGCAGACAGGAATGCTTTGCATCATTTCTCAGGAGTGAGGTTTTATTGCAGGCTTGAATATTGTTTTAATTTGAATTCCGTTAAGATCATAAGTTGTTACAAGGCTATATTCTACAGTTAGCCTCCTATGTTACCTTGTAAAAGTCACTCAACCTCTCTGAACCTGTTTCCTTGACTACAAATGGGAGATCTAATGCTTTGTAGAGTTGATGTGAGGAGTAAATGAGTGATTATACATGAAGCACTTAGACTAAGTGGGCAGGAGGCAGGACTAGGAGTAAGAGTCCAGGAGACAGGGAAGAGGAAAGACCTTGAACAGAAAACCAACTGGGCCCAGTTTTGCTGCACAGAATCTCTGGGACACACTAAGATGCGGACAAGCTGTAGTCCCAGGCTTCTTAACTCTCCCACTCAGGTACAGCCTGGTCAGTTCTGGAGACCAGGTACCACCCACCTCCTGAAATTGTGCAGTTACATTTTTAAGTTCTTAAGAGACCACCTACACCCTGCAACCTGAATCCCTCAGCAGGATATAGAGAGAAATACACACTGGTTATCAAGTTCCCAGGAAGGATTCTGCATAGGCCTACACTTCCGCATTTCCCACAGCCTCCTCCGCCAACCTAGTATATTAATAATAAGGAAGCAAAAGAAGTGAGAACTGTAAAATTACATACTCTTAAGGGCATCTTTCACTTCTGTACATTCATGCCATCTCCTCATCTTTAGGGTAGAGCCAGGCTGTGACTTGAGGGAAAATATAAGAAGGCCAAGATTGTATGAAAGTGGGGTAAGGATATTATAGAGGGGCTGGGTTCTAGACAAATCCTCCACCTGGGCACATCCCCAACTGTGTCCTTCTCAAGCAGGGCTGCATGGAAGAAACATGCTAACCGGGAGTATTTCATCTACAATTCTCTAAAATAGTAAGAGCGATACTAAGAGTCACCACCACACTCAATGCTCAAGGAAATGATGTTTTCATTCATTTATTTTAATTCCAGTCCATGACATCACTGGCATAAAACTGATGTTTCATTCACCTTCTGCTTCATCCTACTGGAACCTCATGTTCCTAAGAAAAGAGGATGGACCTGATCCCCATCTATAATGCTTTATTTCCCTTGCTTCTCATGATTAGGATATAGTTGAAAAAAGATATGATTGCTGTTCCTTGGGCAATTCTGGCAGCTGAAGAATTGCTCCTCACATGGATGTCTTCACCAACCACAGGCCTTGGCTGTCTTCCAAGCAAGAAACCCCATCCAAACACCCTTGGGACCAAACCCCCATCTCCTTTCCCATTCCAAAGAGATCCAGCCCCTCTCCCCAGGCCACAACATTCCTCTCTCTTGCTCTTGAAGCAAAATGTCTTCACCCTACTCCTCCTGAAATGACCCAATCTAAGGGGCCTCCTTGTGCCCAGGCATGCCCAGCTCTTAGGCAAGAGTTGTCTTCAGAGAAGCTCCTGAAACACACACACACACACACACACACACACACATGCATTAACACACATTTTCAATTTCCCAGTAGAGAAGGAAGGCCAGGATTCAGAACACAAAGTCCTGGCTTCTCTTCCCCAAAATAAGGCAGAATAATACCTTATCTCTCTTTTTCTAATACCTACTGAAGTAAAATTACTCTCAAGTAGTTGCTCCATTAAATTCTTGATACAAGGTCCTTCCACGTGTGTTTACAT